CTTCCAGTCATACCACTTGTAGTAGTAATTGCGCTTTCAGATGTATCCCTTGTGGTGGTTGTTCCAGTGATACTTGTAGCAGTCGTTGTGCTTCCGGTAGCACTGCTTCCAGATGTATTGCTTGAGGCAGTGGTTGTGCTTTTAGATGTATCACTTGTGGTAATGGTTGCGCTTCCAGTGGCACCAGTTGTAGTAGTGCCTATGCTTCCGGTGGCACTACTTGTAGCAGTGGTTGTGCTTTCAGATGTATCTGTGGCAATGGTTGTGCTTCCAGTGACACCATTTGTAGTGGTGATAATGCTTCCAGTGGCACCATTTGCTGTAGTGATTACGCTTTCGGTGGCCATACTAGTAGCAGTGGTTGCGCCTGCAGATACACTAATTGGGGTGGTGGTTGTACTTTCAGATTTACCACTTGTGGAAGTGGTTGTGCTTCCAGGTATACCACTTGAGGTGGTTGTACTTTCAGATGTATCGCTTGTGGTGATGGTTGTGCTTCCAGTGGCACCACTTGTAGTAGTGATGGCGCTTCCAGTGGCAATAGTGGTCGTGCTTCCAGGTTTACCACTTGAGATAGTGGTTGTGCTTTCAGATGTATCACTGGTTGTAATAGTTGTGCTTCCAGTGATACCAATTGTAGCAGTAGCTGTGCTCCGAGTAACATCACTTGTAGTATTGATAATGCTTCCAGTAACACTAGTTGTAGCAGTGGCCGTGCTTACAGATACACCATTTGAGGTAGTAGCTGCGCTTTTAGATGTATCACTTGAGGCCATGGTTGTGCTTCCAATAACACTTGTAGCAGTGGTCGTGCTTCCAGTGGCAGCACTTGTAGCGGAAACGGTGTTTACAGATGTACTTAAAGCAAGGCTTGTTGTTTCAGTAGTAACTGTTGTAATAGCTGCTGTGAGTCCTGTTGTAATAGCACTAAATGTGCTTCCACTGATTAAAGGCGTCGCAGTTGATGTATTTACCGTCATATCACTTGTAGGTGTCGATGTGCCTTTAGAAAATCTAGTCGTAATTGCTGATGTATTTCTTGTTACATCTGTTATAAGAGTGGATGCGCTTTTTGAAGTGCCAATTGTAGCAGCGGAGGTGTTAGCATTATAAATCGTAATGGTGGGTGTGCTTCCAACAGTATCTGTAGTAATAATTGATATGGTACCAGTTGCACTACTTGCAGCGGATGTGCTTAAATTTGAATCAGTCGTTGTAGATGTACCGGTTGTGGTCGATTGACTAGTTATGCTGGTTTCCGTCGTCTGCACACTTGCAGAAGTTCTTGTGACTTTTGGAGTGCCCATCGCCGTTGTCTGTTCAGCTGTGACAATGCTTGGTGTCAATTGAGTGCTAGCTATGGTTGGCTGCCACATACTAGTAGCCATCGATGTCCCAGAAGTTATTGTCGATTTTTGGGAAGCACGATTCGTCACTGTTGAATAGGAATCAGAGGTATATGATGACGTTGTTCTGACAGAAGTCGGTATGACGGTTGATGCGACTGCAGGACTTGTGTTAATCGAGGAACTTGGTGTCTTTATTTTAGGAGTAGTTAGCGAAGATGTGGAAGTAGTAGTTTTGCTTGAAGTATAGAGCGTAGCTGACGATGGTGCATTAGTAGTCGAAGGAAGTTTTGATGGCAACATTGTACTTGTAGAAACCTGCGAATCTGTGGTTGTGATGGCAATCGTAGGATATGTAAGAGGTGCAGTGGTCTTGCTCGAAGAAGCTCCTCCACTGGTAGATGACAAGGAAGCGTACGTGGTTTTCTGTGATATCGTACCGCTAGTTTTTGCACTGGAATATGACACCAGAGAAGCAGTAGTTTGAAGAGATGGAGATACGCCCTTCGAAGTGGATGCTAATGTGGTATGCTGTGGCTGCGTGCCAGTGGTTTTTGTTGTAGGAGATGACATCGAGGAAACGGTTCTAGTTGATAGAGGAAGTTCTTTTGGAGTAGATACCTGCGTTGACTGATGTGACACCGTACCGCCGGTCTTCGGCGACACTGAAGAAGCAGTAGGTTTATTTGATGAATATATGGATGAGGATAGAATAGCTTGCGTAGTTCGCAGCTGCACGGTGCTACCGATTTTTGCACTAGATTTGGAAACTGGTGCTGTTGTGGATATACTCGATCGCGGTGAAACACTTGAACTTGAAGGACGAATTTTTGTGGTTGATGCTGTTGATGTGTGAAGAGTTGTGGCAGAGGTTGTTCGATCTTCATCACCTAAAAGACGTCATAAATTTTGAAAACAAAAAGGTTTTCAATTTGATTAGTGGGTTAAAAGTGAAACAAAATTATC